TTTTCCCGAATGTAATTTTTTTTTTGATAAATGAAGCTTAAAATCCCACCTTTAAAACACTATATGGTATGACACAATGTGATTAGTAGCACTGGAGATATACGACTGCAACGACATCTATTGACAAAATACGCAAAGACTTTTTCGACTATCCAATATCTTCACAAAATTGGCAAACACCGAATTTTCTTTCTGCACTGCGAAAATAATGTTTAAAAGTTAATTTAAATTACTTGAAAAGTCATGGAACTCAATTTTACAGTTCAGTGCACCAGCGCTTGTTAATAAGTGTTGAGTTTGGAGACGATTGCCTAGCCACGCATTAAAGATGTTGCTCTGCAATTACGTCCTTAAAACGTAAAAAGCTTAACAAACTAGAATAAGGCCGATAGATTGGATTATATTTGATACCCATAAGTATATCTCACTTATAACAGTCTGTAGAAGATTCAATTACCGAAACGGCGAAGGAATTAAAGGCTGAACAAATCAAATAATTAAGTTAAAACAATGACCTTGAAGTCAAAGGTCTCTTCACTTCGTTATGATTCTCTGTCGTCCACGGTCTTAGCTACGCAAGAATTCGAACTTGATTATTTTATGTAGCGACGTGTGTAGGTATGTATAATTAATACTTGGAAATGTCGCCAAAAATTCATAGATGAACTTGCCTATGCGACGACCTTCTTTAAGGTCCGTTGATCATACGATGGTATCGCAAGCATGGTGCATACAAACGTACAACGTAACACCAAATGCCATAAACCAACATGTGGCAGCAATAATCTTTATTAATTTGAGTGCGGCTACTAAGTAAACGTCTACTTACAAAGAGATATACATATGTACATATAAATATTTATCTCGCAAGCAAGTATACAATTTAATTACCCACTGCGAATTCTAACAAATACGTGAATGCACCTCACATTACTCAGCTAGCACATGCCAATGCGTATGTATTTGTGTTTGCTTTAGTTCACGCGTAAGTTGGACAATTTTCCGCAGCGTACCGTAAAGTTTGTTATGTCATAAATTAATTCCTTAGAATTCGAGCGCGTAATAAAGAGGCGTCCATATTTGTTTTGCAATGAGATGCCTTGCGTGGCCGAACTCATGGTCACGGTCAGGAAATTAGAAAATTGTAACGAGTTCAACACCCACGAAAATTTGACAAAACGAAATTTGCGGATAGAAGTGTTTACTAGCAAATTGTTTGCATTTTGTCAAACAATTATGTTTATTTGAAGTGGAAAGACATGCTCACTCTTCTGGGAATAGAGCAGAAAACCGTAATTCCAAAAAAAATTTTTTTTTTGTCATTGAGTTTTGGAATAAAGATGCTAACAAATTACTAGACGTTGTTCACTTCTTTCTTAATGCTAATCGGTCTCTCGTTCTTAGACATTTAGACACATACTGGAAAATTAAGTTCTATGATTGTATGCGGATCAAATTTTAAGCCCCTTATAATTATTTTTACAAGACCACCAGGACTACAGTCTAGTGATTTTTCTTCGTGACTGTTCTACAGGAGCCGACAATTTTATGATGTCGAACATGAGTTGGGAGTGATCAGAAACGATTTTTTTACATATGACTCATGCAGTTCACGACTTCCGGTCTCAGACCAAGTGTTCTCTGGGTAGCCAGAGAACATCCGTTTGAAGGCGAACTTAAGTGAGAAAACGCTGGGTTCGGCTCCCGCCACGTAAAAATTCCCCCAATGACAAGGAAACAATAGCCTCGGATGAGAGACCCTCCTTTTTGAGACGACTATGGGAAACGCATTAAAGATGACTATTTAAAGCATGCACTTGGAATATCTGGTCCCTTAATTGGAAAGACTGAGATGGGTAAGTCCTTGTGGCAATTACTACAGTGGTCATATAAAGGAGCGTAAATTGGGTGTGGGATTCGTGGTGGGAGTCCCTAGCCGAGTCCTGGCATATACAAGGATGGATGAACGTCTAGCCACAATCCGCATCATAGCGAAGTTCCTCAACATATTGCTGATTCGCGCCCAAGCCCCGAAGGAAAAGAAAGGCGATGAAAATACCAAACTCTATAAGTCACTCGATATTCCCGTCCTGCAATATGGTGCAGAAGCATGTACTATGACAACATCTGATGAGTCGACGTAACAAGTTTTTGAGAGAAAGGTTTTGTGGAAGATTTATGGTGCTTCGAGCATTGGCAATGGCGAGTATGGCATTCGATGGAACGATTAGCTGTACGAGATATACGACGGCATTGACATATTTCAGCGATTTAAGAGACAGCGGCTACTCTGGCTAGGCCATGTCGTCGAGATAGACGGAAAAACTCCAGCTCTGAAAGTATTCGATGCAGTAGTCGCTGGGGGAGCAGAGGTAGAGGAAGACCTCCACTCCGTTGCAAACTTGAAGTCTCCAATTGGTGCCAAACTGCGAATAAGAAGGACGACTGGAGCGTTGTTGTAAACTCGGCTATAACAGCGTAAGCGATGTTTACGCCAAAAAAGAAGACAACGAATTGGCTCCATAACCGCTGAAGTTGAAAGCGAATCATATTACCTTTTTTTTTTTTGTAGGCTCCAATTCGAAGAATCAAGCCAAGTTTAGAGCAGTTCTTTGTATTTAAGTATTTCATCATTAAATACTGCGAAAAATACTTTCAGAGCCGAAGGCTTTGCATCCATTTAAACGGCGTATTCTAGTCAGTCAGTCAGTCAGTCAGTGCAGAGTTTTGTTCAGTTATAATAATAATCTTACGAAGTTCCAGCTTATCATTCCATTCCATGTCATATATCTGTATACCAGGCTGATAAATATATATCGCGAAGATGCCAATAATCTGTTCATATAATCATCAATTGTAAGAACCCATGCTATCTAAACTTTATCCATCATCATCATTTCCAGTATCTTCCTTTGGAGTACTTTCCAATCTTGACGTTTTGATCTATTGCAGACTAAACACATAGTAGTAGCCTTTCTTGAACTTGTTGGACGATATCGTTGTTGCACTCAGAACTCTTCGGAAAACTTCGTGCCAAGGTTGTTAGCATGAATATCCCGTCCGGGGTCAATATTTATGAAGAAGTCAGGGCAACCCAAAACCTCTAGGAGAATTTTTCCCCTAGCCGCAGACCACTGTCCGAGACTGCTTTTTGATTATTCGAAGGTATCTCTAAAAGTCTCACTATACGCAACCTATGACCCGTACGGTTACTTACAGTTCGTCCCAGATTTCAACAAATCCACGACCGGATATGGATTCCCCTTTTGGGATTATTGTAGATCACAACGCAACAGGACAGGAGATAGGATTTTAACTCAATATTCTGCCCAGTACAAGTGGATTATATCAGTAACACATATGACATTGTTTTTATGATTCCCAAGTTACACAAAATGGTATAAACCTAGAAAGCTTTGACTGGAAAACGTGTGTGTCGAAGAATCTTACCTCCTTCCGCTAATTACCCAATTGTACAAAATCCGACCAAAGCCGTGTTTTACTCCTGGCCTGTGTCTAATGAGGTGCTGTGCTTAGCATAATTTTCCACGATTTTCGCTTGCCTTCTAAGTATTAGTATTTCGAAAGAAATCACTTAATTCTTTTTACTCAATTTTATTTAATTTTACCTCACTGCAGAATGCAGAAAATCCGCGATATCCGCTTTTCATGAAAAATCCAACTCATCCCTGCCAAAGTGGGATGAAGTCGTTGACATTGAAATAAACGATTTTTAGACCAACTTTCAACGTAATTTAGGTGGAAATTTGCATATGTTTATATTATCGCATAACATACGCATACATGCAAACACAAACACAGATGCATACACAAACCGAAGCCCCTCGTAGTCATCTGATTTTAAGCGAGCACCCATTTAGCAGCCGCAGCTTTTCTCATTTGAAATTTCCACATTTTTATTGTGTTTGTGTGTGCTTATTTAGTTTTTATGTTCTCCCTAGTTTTACTCTAATTATTGCAAATGATTTTTATGAATTTTAACTAACGACTTTTCCACGCTCAGTTGGCACTTTGGCGCTTTTTCTACACTTTTATTATTATTATTATTTTTTTTTTTTTGTTCTGGCTAAAACTTTGAATTAAATCATTGGTGGAGTGGAGATTATGTGCTCTCGCTGTTAGCGGAGAGTCAGACCCAGCCGCCCTGCGCCGTTAATTCGGTCTCTGATCCACTCAGGTAGCTGCGCACGGCTTCTCTTCGGTTCGTCGCTAACAACAACAACACAACACAACAAATGTTATGCCAAAATGATTTGAGCCAAACTAAGCTACCAAAAATGATTACATTGCTAATAAGCGGCTAACTGATGGATGGCAAAGTGGAAAATATTAAATAAATACCAGACCAAGAGCCGGGATGCGCGCATTCGCAGTGTGTTTACAAAACAAGAACGTCAGCGGTTCGCACGCAGACTAATTAACTCTAAAATTCCAGCTCAGCCAAATTCACATCACCTGAGGCTTTTTTGTATGAGTAGTAAAATATTCTAATTTAAGACAACTAAAGACAATTCGCCGTGAATTTGCACAGTGTTGGACAAATGTGGTGTTAAAGTGAAGCAAGAAGAAAGTTGAATTTGTGCTGTTTTGAAATACTCGTAATAATTGTAAATTCTGTAAAGTGATCGTCGTTGCTTTAAGGATTAAAGATGAAACAACTAAATGTGGTATGTAAAAATTGTGTCTGTAGTGGGAAAATACCAGCAAAATTGTATTTGAAAAATTATGAAATTCTGGCTAAGTCCATTTCTAGCGATTTTGTAGAGAATCTGTGTCAAAGACTTGGAATAAAGCATATGTATAATTTTGTAAATCTTTTAAGTTGTATTTAAAGCAAAGTAGTGTTTTCGAAAAGGACCCATCCACTTAGTATTTGATTGTAAGAATACCTCTTTGTGGCCAATTTTCAAAAAAATATATGATTTTAGACTGTTCGATAAAGATAATTAACACCAAATTCATTTTACGGACATCTAAGAATTACCTAATTTCACAGAGAGTACCAAATTTCGTTTCTAAAATTAATATTTTCGACTTTGGACCAGTAAAACTGTCAACTTAGTCAAATAAATAATTAAATTATGGTTTTGTGCCCAGGATAATAAATTTATATTCGAGAACTTTTTCTTTTTTTTTTGAACATTTATTTAAAATTAAAAACTTTTAAGATGTTTTTCAAGTTTAAATTAAGGGACAATTTCGTAAAGTTTAGGGGTTTTCAAGTATTTTTTATATGAGTATTTAAAATATTTGTACTATTTTTTAAAATTCCTTTTTTTTGTAACCCCATTCCTACATCTAATTAATTTGAACTTAGCAAATTGAAGGGCCTGAAAGTTTCTTCGATTAAATTCTTTACTGTTTGAGCTATAATAAATAACTCTTAAATTTCCCGAGCCGATTTTCAGGTTTTGAACTGCGATATGATCTGATTTGACACAGACCGACAAAAGATCAATTTCACGGATTTTAATAAAAATCCTTAATATCGTTGTCAAAGCGATGTCCTGAGCCAAAATACGTATGCTAAACGTTTACCAAACACTTGTTATAGGCCACGGCTTGGAGGGCCTTTAGTGCCTTCAGAGAATACGCTTTTTCGATTTTCGCTCATGTTTGAAGCGCCAATCACGATTTAAAGATTGTGGAAGGATTCAACGTCTTATTCATAAACCCTTGCCTCGCCACCGGCAATGATACGATTGGTGAATACTGGGTCCTCAGCTTCGTCGATTCATATCTTCTGTGACCTCCACTTGACGTTTTTTTGCAAAATATTAGGTTGTCAAAAAAGTCTTGCGGCATTTTCGCTAGTCGGCGCTGAGAGCGCGTAGTTCTAGGTTTATCCGTCGCATCGGGGCATGCTGTACCTTTTTGGAAAGCTTACTTCACGCGCTCACACTTGTTTGATTGATTGTCGTTTCTTTTAAGTCGTTCGTGAGTTTTAGCGTCGTAAACATGGAACAAAATAAAGAGAAAATACGGCATATTTTACAGTACTACTACGATAAAGGCAAAAATGCATCTCAAGCCGCCAGTAATATTTGTGCAGTTTATGGAGCCGATACACTTTCCATTTGCACCGCACGACGATGGTTTTAACGCTATCGTTCTGGTGTAGAGGTGGTCGAAGATGCGCCACGCTCCGGAAGGCCAAAAACTCTTCTGCAATATTTTCGTCGATTATGTAGCCACACAAAACAAAATGTTACGCAAATTTTTTATTGAATTTTGTCCGTATTAAAATCAACTGTTAAACCTCTCGTATCGTAATCAAACAGTTTCTATACCACACCAATGATAAATAAATATTGCTTACTGAAGGGGGAAAAATACAGAGGAGGTAAAAACTTGGCTTGATGACGAGTTTCCGGACACTATCAAAAACTCTATCAGAAAAATTAAGAATTAAAGATTGGTATGCTAAGTTTAAATGAGCTGACATCAGCACCGAGGAAGGTGAAAGCAGTGAACGCCGAAAAGAGGTTGTCATCGCAGAAAACATCAAAAAAGTCCACAAAATAATTTGGATTACCGTAAAGTGAAGTTGTTCGAGATAGCAGGCACTCTAAAGATATTAACTGAATGTATAAATGATATCATTAATGAATATTTGGACATGAGAAAGAACTACTTTTGTCCAAAAACAATGACGTTGACAACGTGTTGATGGTTCGTAGCAGTATTTGAAGATGTTCGAGCTATAATACGCTCCCATTTTTGCATCGATATGTGACAATAGATGGAACATGGTCCATCATTTCATTTTGCTGTCTAGTCGACAATCATCCTAGTGGACTGCAAATGATGGGCTCTTTCCAAACCGTGGAAAAACGCCGGGTGACAAGGTTATGGCGCCTGTATTTTGATATGTACATAGAATAATTTTTATTGACTACCTTGCAAAACAAAGAACCATGAACAGCGACTATTACATAGCGTTATTGTACCGTTTGAAAATGTTGTGAAATCGCCGACAAACGGTCGAATTTGAAGAAAATGAAAGGGTTGTTCTCTCAACATAACGCAACGTGTCACAAGTCAGTGTGAACGATGGCAAAGATCCATGAATAGGACTTCAAATTGCTTCCGCATCCACCGTATTCTCCAGATCGGGTCCCTACTGACGACTTTCTGTTCACAGATCTCAAAAGAATACTCGCTGGGAAGATATTTTCGAATAAAGAGGCGATCGCCAAAATTTAGGCCTATTTTGAAGCAAAGAGTCGCTATAATCAGTATATTACTCTTGAGGGAACTATGTGGAATTAAAAAAAAATATTTTTGCCAAAAAAATGTTCTCTACTATGGTAGGTCAGTGACTTTTCAATTGGCAACGCTCTCATAAATATCCTGCTCCTGAAATCTGTTTCGAGGTTACTTACGAACCTTCCTATCAACTGAATATATTTAATGTGAATATAGCTCTTTACGAAATGTTCGGAAGTCTGTATTTCCCTCGGTGTCGAGAAACACTTTTAATTTCAATAATCAAATGAATGAAAAGAGGCAATAAAATAATTATCATATTTCCCTCCACCTACAAACATTTGAATTGACTTTTTGTCGCAGACATAATAGATCATAGAAATAGTATAAAGTGTGGAATAAACGAAAGTTATTAAAAGCCTAAGCATATTTTAGAGCTCCCGCGCAAATTTACACCACGGTCCACATAAATACTTATACTTATATTTAATCCTATTATGCATACATACATACGCGTATTTAAATCCACGTCCCAAACACGTACTTTCATATAATATATAGTACATGTGTACATGTGCGTATCTTTTACATATTCGTGAATATTTTCTGTACCACAACATAAGCGGAAGTGGCTCCTGATGCTTGACTAGCAATGCGTGGAGAGCGGCGTGCGCTGGCGTACCATTTCGACATTTTGACCAATTGCCTGACTATTCGATTTGACTTTATGTCTAGTTGTTGTTGTTGCTTTTGTATTTGTATTTTTACCACTACATAGAAATGTAGTATATTTTCCATTGAAACAGCCCAAGCGCCCCTCAGAATGATGTCAATGTTATTTATCATAATTTCATAAAAATGCGAGCGACAACAAAAACAATAAGGCCCAAAAAATGCCTTCAAAAGTTGAAATAATAACTTTAATACATATTTATATAACCAAGTAATTGTTGCAGAATGACTACATATGCAGATGTGCGTATGTGTGTATGTGCTACATATTTTCTTTACTTGCATTAATTAGATCCGGTGAGTGGTTAATGGTAATAGCGCTGACACAGACAGTTTTGTGACCGCCGCTTGTGGTCGTGGCGTTGACAACGGTGCCCAGCCAGCAAAGTGTCAAACGCACTCACTCGCTTAACTATTGATAGGCCATACATTTGCACACACACATACGCATACACGCATACATGTGTGCATAATAAGAGCCGCAATATTGTTACACAATTACCTCAATTTGATCTGTGCTGTTTGACATTCTGCCGCGTGTTGTTTGCAGCTTTTCGCCACTTTGGGACACGAGCTTGCTCGGTAGTGTTCGTTGCCTTGCTGGCCAATATTTATTTTCATAATTGCAGATATTCCATATCGTGGCATATTCTGGTAATCGCTGCCGCATTTGCTCCAAATAACTGTTGAATTGTGAAATTAAATTGAACAAATGCCTGCGCGTTCGATGAAAGCACCGTTCGAAGATCGACGAGTTCACTGGCATGAAGATCGATCGATAACGAGATTATTGCCCCCATTTTCGAGAAGTTATATGTACATATGTAATTATATACATATTCATATATTATTTTTGGAGTTTTCCATCGAATACCACAAATAGTACATAACATACATACATATTTTCCTATGACAATTTGATATTCGAAATCGATTTGATGAGCCAAATATGTCAAATGGATTATAGGAAAACAATACAAAATTCCATCGAATTTGGTTAACTGAGAGTGAATGGCTTCTTGAATAGAACTGCGCATTCTCTTACCCTGTAAGCCTTTGATCATACTTTTGAAATTCTTAATTTGTTCTTCAAAATCTATGTCGCCCCCTCAAAGTAATCTCCCTAAGCCGCAATACACTTTTGAGAACGTAATTGTCAACGTAATTGCCAAAACAGTTCCTGCAGTCAATTTCCGGAATAGCCTTCAATGCGATTAATGTGTTCAATGGACTCAAAACGGTTTTGCCGAAGCAGTCGTTTGAGTTTGCTGGATAGCCAGAAGTCACACGGAGCTAAATCAGGCGAATACGGTGGTTGCGGCACGATATTTATTGATAATTTGATGAAAAACTCAATGAAAATCAATGCTAAGAGTTGACGGCCCAAAATTCCAGTTTCTTTTTACGAATTGCTTCGTGAAAACGACGCATAACACTCAATTGGTATTCCATTTTGTCGATTTGGCGGAAGGAATTCGGAGTGCACCATATCTCGATATTCGAAGAAAACTTTAAACATAGCCTTGATTTTAGACCTGATTTGACTGTTTGTTTTAACCGATATAGTGTTACTAGTCCAATGTTCTAAGAAAAAAGGATCCGGAATTGCGAAAATTCTCTGATGCGCTTCATGTTCTCTCTGTGAGAGAATGGGAAAAGTTTAGTTCTTTGCTGCAATAGTAGGAATATTCACACTTAGGATCAACCGGTTTTAGAATAAGAGATTTTAAAAACCCCTTACAACAGGTTTGTTTCGAATCACTTAGCTTATAAGTATAATGGAATGTAATAAATGTCTAAACAAAAGATACGATGAGCCAAAACTTCTTAGACACATATCTACATACACAATATATAATCGATTCTCTTTTTACCCATTTTAGGTTATATGGTTAGCTCTACTGCTGCACCAAGAATGGCTAACGCAAACTTCAGCAGCGCAACAACAACAAGCTTCCTCGAATGCACAGTCTTCGGTTGTGCAACTGTACGATTCGAATCGTGACGATAATGCGGCGGCGCCACAATCGGAAAGTGTTTTGGGATCACTATACCGCAAGAGCAGACAATCGAGATGCGTGCGTTGTTACGAAGATCGGTGCGTATATATCGAAAAGTTGAGAAACACATTATGAAAACCGAAAATAATTGTCGTTTTAAATTTTAGTTACGGCGATGATCGCAGTCGTTACTATGGAACTGGCGGTTATTCCAGTCGTTCATCGGACAACTGGTACGTAGCATTGTTATTTGCTAGAGATAGCTACAAATATGGTTGGTGGTATGCTTGAAAGGGATGCTGACGGCCTCGTTAAATATATAAAAATAAAACATTATTTGTTTAAAATATTCTTACTATAAATTCGTATGAATGATTTTATTTTATATTTTTTTAGGTATTACCCTTACGATCGTTACGATGATCGCTACCGTTCAGAGGATCGCTATCGCTCGGAGGATCGCTATCGGCCAGATTATGATCGTTATTCGTCGTCTTCTTCCATGCCATCTTCATATTATCGTGATAGGTGAGTAGAGCTACAAATATCCCTACTATTTTAGAAAAGGATTTAAATATTATCCAGCTAGTTGAAGCCAATATAGTCGTTTTGAGCTAGTAGTTTCATTAAATCCTATGAGATCCTAAAAAGTATAACAGTGGTGATCAGCGCGATGTGCTGAGCCCTTTTAGCCATGCTGTGAACTTGTTCCTCAGTTTTTGATTATCGTTCTGAAATTTTTCTTATGATGGATCAAAATGAAGTCTTAGTATGGAGAACTTTTTTATTTGATGAGATGTCTTCACGAAGTTTAGCATAGAATATTATTCAAGATAATCTATAGCGAGCGGCCAATTGACTGGCCATTTCGTGAGATAACACGTAACCAAACTTGGTTTTCAATAAATTGATTGTGACATTCGCTATGTGGCTTGTGGCGCCGTCCTGTGTGAACCACACATTGTCCAAGTCCATATCATCAAATTCGTACCAAAAATATTCGGTTAACATTGGGCGCCAGCGATTCCCATTCACAGTAACGTGCCGATATGGATCAATACGGGAGAAGTACGACCCAATGACGCCACCGGCCCATAAACTGCAACAAAGATTACTCATGATGTGCGTGTGGATTGCTGTCTAGCCACTAGATTTTTCCACTAGACGCTCAATTGTTGATCTGGCAGGACGATTATGTCAACCATACATTGTACGTAGCGCTCTTAAACTTGAGGCCACTGACTCCGAATTTCGGTTGTAAATTTTAATAATTTCGACTCGTTGTTGGAACATATATCTTTCCATGATGAAATGGCAAACGTTACTGAAGAGAAACGTCAAAAGAGCGAGAATAAATATGGCGTCGTTTGCTGTCCCTATTGATTTACTTTTATAGCGCCCCTATTGATAAACCCGTTATTTTTCGTGTTTTATTCTTATGTTTTATTTTGGCTTCGACTTTGAAACAATTAAATTGAAGCTTGAATGATAAGTATTACGTCATCTATGGTGATTTATTGCCGAACGATTGTCTGATGCCTGCAGTGTAGTTCCGCTTAGTGCTTAGAAATTATATACGTACTCGTACATACATACTTATACGTGCATGTGTAGTAGTGTTCAAACCACATAGTTTGCGAGTTTTTATCTTCTCTAGTAGCTGAAATGTGCTAAACTTTATTTCTTTTCATTCAGAGATGACCGCTTGGGTTCGCGCACCTACGATCGCTATGATACACGTGGTTATGATCGCTATGATCGCCGTGGTGGATACGAACAGGATCGTTATGGCGATTATTCTCGCGGTAAGTTTACAAAAATTTCGATTTAAATAAACACTTTAATTTAATATTAATTAAACATTGTTAGATCGTTACTATGAGCGTCCACGCGGCAGCGCTTACGATCGTGACTACTATGATCGCTCCACCTCGTCGCGTTATGACTACCGCAATTACCGTCCTTATGATGAAACCTACAGGTAAAGTGACGTAGTATATTAATGTATATATTTTTTGTGTTTTTTTTTTTGCTTGTTTTTATGTTGTAGTAAATGTTTGTAACATATGTACTATATACGTTTGTATGTATGTAATTGTTTCGCCTTTAACCACTTTTTTGCTTTTATTTTATATATGCAATTTCTCTTTTCTTATTCTCATTGCATATTGTCTTTACTACCGTCACTGTAAAAATACTGCATAACAACAACAACACTAAATTACTTAATATGTACATATGTTTGTGTAAAACAACAACACCAAAAACTCTCTGCCGCTGACTCTCCACTTTGTTGCACTTGAATTTCTCTAAACTAAACAAATATATGTATAAATATATGTGTGTGTATGTATGTGTGCTAACGACAACATCATTGCTTCCAAACACGCGCACGCAAACACACAACTACTACTTACAACTACATTTGCATTATCTACGCCGACGCGCTGCCCCGTTGCTTCACTCATTACGCAACTGTAGAGGCCAATCGGGATTTGACAATTCCGGACGCGGTTATTATTTCGCGAGTGAAGATAGCGATCGTCAACTTTACCCGAGCAGCAAATCTGGTTACGATCAGCGCGCTAACTCTTCACCCTGTGGCGTGCGGGTCACTGATTGTCCCTACGCCTCCAGAGGCGGAAGCGCTGGAGGTACAACACAAGTGACCTCGCGGCCCATAACTAGTCAACATGGCTATGATTACGGTTACAGTTATGGTGCGGGAAGTAGTGGTAGCGCTGGCAGTAGCGGAAGCGGCGCAGGCGCTGCAACACGCAACACAAGTGCAAATAATAGCAGTAATTCTAGTAGTAGTCAAGGTTGGAACTATGTAGATGAGCGCGATAAGGCGTCGAGTGCACGGGGGAGCGGTAGGGATGAGAATAGAGGACGCGAGCGGGAGCGTGAGCGTGACAGGGATCCGCAGAGGTAAGTTGTAGTTGTTGGTGATTGGCAAGAAGCAAACGCAAATTATATTGCACTCTTCAAAACATTTTTTTTCCATATTCACTGTGTCCACTAAAACATCACTTATTTTTCCCCTCCCATATAAAAAACATAAACTCATACAAATTGGAGACAATTTCATTACCACCCACTTGTAATCCTACAGTGAATGGATATAATAATTAAAAGAAGGCTTCTACTCCTCTCACCTCTTACAGCTCTTCCTACGGTAGCCGACCGCCACGTCCATTAGGTGGCAGCTACCTCTTCGACCGTGACTCGAATACGGTAGGGGATGAGAAGACGGCGGACAATGCAGCAGATAAGGATAGCAGTGGTGGCAATGCCGATGGCGTCAGCAATATCTCGTCATCATCAATGGTTGTTGAACAAAATCGTGATATGAATAATAGCGGCGATGGCGGTCGTGGAGGTAGTGATGACGGCATGGCCAATTCAATGCAAACGAATGTCAGGGATAAACAATGATCAGAACAGCAAATTCAGAAATGATAAAAAAACATATAAAAATAAGAATAAGAGCATGACATTATATAATGTATTCTTTTCCTAAAAACAAATGTTTTGTAAAATCTAATCACAGAACTAAAAATATATGTATGCAATGGGTGAAGCAAAAGAAACATTTCAATCTCCAATAAAGCGTTTTGTAAATGTAAGATCATTTACAAGAACATTTTTATAAAAATAATTTGTTGTTTTTATGATTGAGTATTATTTTTTTTTTTTTTTAATTCTGGAGGCAACCGGCGACAGAGGAATCTTCATGATCGCAATGCTTGGGTTATAAGCTGTTTCCATCCGCATTCATTTGCAAAACCAGAATCATCTTAAGAAGTCTTTACCGCCGGATAACGCTTAGCAAAGACGATCATACGGATTGCGACACATCGCCCAACCCATTCGCATCGCACTTCTGATTTCTTAGATACAATGCAAACAACCGTTGTACGAAAAAATATATAGTATTTCTATATATGTCAGTATGCAAAAGCAACAATTTACTTTAAGTTTAATAAAATTTAAAGATGAATTATATAAGTACCATATCTAACACACAAAGTACCAGTCATACTCCACCGAGAGTATCGATAACTGAAGGTAATTGTATGCAGTACTTTTTCTACCTTTTTTTGTGTAAATATTTTATTACTATATTGGTATTGGGATAGATACCGGGAATTGAAGAGAGAAGTTCTCTGCCCAATCCACAAAATCATAATGGGCTAAATCTTGAACAAGTCCGTGAAAAGAGGATCAACACACATCACGTCTTTGTCGATTTCAAGGCTGCTCTTGACTGCACGAGAGCCGCCTTTATGCCGCTGTAGTCTGAATTTGGTATTTCCGATAATACTTATATGCTTCTGTGTAAACTGACGTTGAGCAATACCAAATGCTCTGTCAGGATCGGGAAGGAGCACTCCGAGCCGTTCGATACCAAACCAGTTTTCAGGCAAGGCTACAACAACCCGCGCCGTTAGTTTTGCTTTCTCCAGAATGGATAAGGCGGCGAAGCATTGGGGTTTATTAATGAACGAGTGCAAGACGAAATATCTCCTGTCATCAAACAGTCGTCGCGCTCGCGACTTGGCTCACACTTCACTGTTGGCAGTGTTACTTCGAAGTTATATATAATTTCGTCTATCTTGGAACCAGTATTAACATCAACTACAACGTCAGCCTCGAAATCCAACGCTAAACAACTCTTGCTATCAGGTGGTTCTTCGGACTGAGTAGACAATTGAGAAATACAGACCTCTCTCAACGAACAAAGACCAAACTCTACAAGTCACTCAACACTCCCGTCCTGCTATATGGTGTAGAGGCATGGACGGTAACAACATTCGATGATCCTTTGCGAATTGGCAATGGCGAATACCGCAGTCGTTAGAACGATGAGCTGTACGAGGGATACGACGACTTTGACATACATAGTTCAGCGAATTAAAAGACAGCGGCTTCTCTGGCTAGGCCATGTCGGTTGAATGGATGAAAACACTACGGTTGTGAGAGTTTTCGACGCAGTACTAGCGGGGGGAAGCAGAGAAAGGGGAAGACCTCTACTCCATTGGAAAAACCAGGTGAAGAAGGACCTGGCTATTCTTGGAATATTCAATTGACGGTAAATAGCAAAAAGAAAGAACGACTGGCGCGCTTTTGTAAACTTGGCTATAATCGCGTAACTACCAATAGAGAAGAAGATACTCACCTTTCTTAGGACTTATAGTAGGACTTATTAAGCCACCGGCTTATTTTTCACATTAAAAAATCACAATATTTAAGAAATCAAATCAATTAGAGAGCCACCCTAGTATTAGCGGCATTGATAATGAGGGATTAAGAGAAATAATTTTATAAAGAGTTCGATTTTCTCTTTTATATATAGAAAAGAGAAATAGTAAGTTATTTTTAAAGGAAGTGAAGCCGCGCTGTGAAGAGCTGCGGTTCCGGTTAGAATGGATTTTCTGCGTAACCCTTTTTAAAATATGAATGTGAACGTCAGAATATAAGCTTGGCCATAAAACAATCGCATGTAATAAAACTGCTGCGATAACCCGGAAAGATCGAGGCACCTAAACATAATCATAAATTATGTGATTAAAACTCTATTGTTATTGATTGCATACAAATACCACCAGGCAATGAAACAGAAAAACAAATATAACGGACTTCAGTTTATAGAGTGTAGACTGAATGTTGTCAGACCATTCCAGTGTCGCTAGGGAAACCTTCGCAATATCCAAAGGTGGAATAATGAAGTGCTGGAGAGGAGAATATTATTTCATAAAAAAATAGTGGTATTTAGTTTAATACTAGTATAGCTACTGCAGTAGTTGGCTTAGTTCGTGGGTAGCAAGCTTTCTGGGGGCATTAAAATATTTACACCAATTTATATGTTTGTTTGGCATAAAAAAGCATTGCTCGTGTATTTTGCAAATCAATCCATCATTCGGTTTTATTTTATCTTACATGGCATTTACTTTGAATCATGACGGCAAATATAGCAAACAATTGGTATAAATGCTATAGCTATAGATAAGCGCAAACCCAAGTAGGAAATCTTAACAGTAGCAACAACACATGTCCGTTAACGGGTATGTGCTCAGTGAACATTTTTAAACTCATAAAATGACGCTTCGCTTGTATTAGTTTTCCAAATACCTTTCCGAGTGTAAAAAATGTTTTATCACAATGTTCACCACCTGCTGATAAGGAGCATAAGAAACCGGTATAGTTTACGTTGAATAGGGGCTATGACGAGTGCTTATGATTGCTTGCGCGACATTTACTAGTTGGGAGGCGCGGTGCGATGTTGGCGTGTCCATATCAACGTTCAACACTCGGTGTTATCGGCATTCTTGTATTTTATTATTTATACTGGAATCTCTACGTGTTTTCTTCTGTGAGTGTGTCAGCTAAGTAAGATGAATTTATAAGAAAAAGAAAAATTTCTAAAAGATATTGATACCCACTGAGTTGACTAAAAAAAAGTCACATTGCAGAAGCTCAAGTGCGGGCAATTGGCTTTCAACGCTTCTACATTTGTTTGGGAGTAAGCATTGTGGGCTTCCAACGCATGTGGGCGTGCCGCTACGGAATTTTGGTAGAAATGACGCGGATGGAAAAGTGACAGCACTTGAGGAAATTCAGAAATTGAAAACGAAACGTGCAGTAAAGTGAAATTTTTGCTTGTTTTTTATGTGTGGGTGTGTGTACCAAAGTATTTACAAAGCAAATACTCCACGCGCCATTAATATACAAAATGCCGCAACCTCAGCGCTCGGACTGACATATTGGTTTGGCCTATACTTTGCGATATATTCCAATTAATTTTGCGGTTCGGTGTTGTTCATGTTTTATTTTTCATTTCTCCGACACATTTGTCGGACTAAAAATAGCGCGGAACATCTCATCAAAATTCGAATTATTATAAAGCATGTGCTACATTTACAAGTCGAACACGCTCTCGTTTCTACCTTCGTGCAAGAGGCGCCCGAATGGAAGTCCTCTGAAGAGCTGCGCCGCTTGTCGGTTTAGTATTCTCGCTTTTGCGCGTCTAAATTGAATAGGTTACAGACGCTGCGCGCTGAACAACTTTGGTGGATAAATAGCAAATATTTTCAAAATAGCCGTGTACATATGTAGCGATAATCGTGTGAAGATTTCGAAAACAGTGCAGTGATATCAACAGGTGTTCTTTAGAAAATGTTCTTAAAGTGACTTTTAGTGTTTGTGTGTTGATAGTTGTGGTGTGGAAACCAAACGGTTGTTGAGAGTAGGCGTGACGACAGCATTTTGTTTTACAACTGTGAATTGATAACAATAAAAGGAATGAGAGCGTTAGGGTGTGTTCAGGTTTTTAATGATATATATGTTGGTATAAGTGCCAATGGGAATTTGTGATAAATATTGTGTGTTACGTTTCGCTCAAGTTGCTATAAGAGAAAATCAAGTGAAATATAGTCAATATCAAGTTTGAGTCGGACTGGTGCAATTAAGGGGTTACTTTAGTTTCATCGGAACCTTTCTTCATAAATAAATAAATCCAACATACATACACTGCTAAAAAAAAAATTCGGAAATTTTTGGAAAAAAATATTTTAAACTCGGCCTTTGCGAGGCCATTTACGGTGACTCTTCGGAAAAAAGATGCGCATACGTTGGCAGGATAGTTCCTTATAGGATACTCTAAAGTGAAAAATACGTGTTTTAGTTGAAGCCTGAGCTTAGAACTTGGATGAAGGAAAAAAAATGAAAATTGGATTTTTGGCAAAAATTTTTACAAACAAATTAAAATTTCGGTGAAAATTTCGCGACAATTTTTGTTTTTCAAACAGTTACAATAAAAATATCTTTCTCCCAAGGCTTTAAGAATTGTTTCTCAAAAATCTGTCTAAAATTTTATAAAGATCGGTTCAGTAGTACTCGAGAAATCTTGCCAATCGATTTAGGAAACCCTGTTTCGAGGAAAACGCGTTTAAAGATGGTACACTTAGACGGGCTAGCCTTGAACGCCCATGTTCTCAAGGTTGTATCTCCGAAACTATTACTATTTTCAATTTGAAAATTATGAGAATATTCTAGAAGTGTTGTAGAATTTAATAATAATAAAAAGATTAAATTTTTTTGAATTTCGTCAGCCCATGTAACCCTTTAAACCATGCGCACAAACCGAATCGATGAAGAATTTTTGTTTGAGTTAGAGTAACCTATTTTTATCTCCATATGGCTATAAATTTGTATTTGACGATTTTTATACTAGATCAATGGACTTATGACGCGTTCCCAGAAAAAAGTCACAGGGAAAAAAAGTCTGGCGAAAACGAAGGCTAAGCATTGATTCTCGTTTCGTGTTGGGTAAAAAAGTCAGTCACAATCAAACGGGAATCTGATAATACATTCAGTTGGATTCTAGATTGACACGCTGTATATCTAAAGCATTAACCAAAAAGGTTCAGTCGCCTTCCTTGAGATTCTCTGCTATCTCTTTCATGTCAATAGGATGATATTCAAACACTTTTCTTGTTATATATTGAATAATTATAATGCCATTATTCATAAGCTTAACTCCTACTATATGGTATGATTCATTTAGGATCTCAAGAGATTAAACGTTTTTCTACTCC